GAAGGAGATATGTTGGTTTCAATATTTGCAAATAGTGTAGATTTTAAATATAAATTAAGTGGCAATTTCGTAATTAATCTGAAAAATCTGGTAACCTAATTCTTAGTAAAATGACCATAAATTCCTCATACGATGTCCAAGTTCGATGATTCTTTTTGCTATGGCACCGTCATTACTATACAGATCTAATGCTTCAATCAAAATAGAAATCGTAGATCATTTGCTTAATGTGGTACCATTTATGCTTGAAAACGACGTCAAAACTTAAGAAAAACGAGCGCAACGCAGCCCAAACCTATTCGAAACTCACCCGAGCCCCTCGGGACCCCGTATGAGCATACCAACAAGTCCCATAATATAACACGGACCAACTCGAGGCCTCAAATCATACATAACAACATTGAAACGACGAAACGCGCCTTAAATCAAACTTAATGAACGTTTGACTTCCAAAAACTCGCACAGAAACATATCAAATCAACTCGGAATGAACTCAAATTTTGCACACAAGTGCTAATACATCATACGGAGCTACTCGTTCCCCCAAACTACCGAGCGAAATGCAAATGCTCAAAACGACCGGTCGGGTTGTTACACCAGCCCATTTAACCACTTAAACCAAGGAGAAATTCAAAAATAGCCAGATTTACAAGTGGTCATTCAAAAATAGCCTCAATTTCAAAAGTCATCGAAATTTAGCCACTTTTCATGTAAAGATAAATCTGAATGAAAACACTGTTCAAAATCCAGAAAATACTCCAGCATAATATACTGGAATTCCAGTATAATATACTGGAACTCCAAACTCCAGTATATTATACTAGAGCAGTCTCCGTTGCAGCAAAATAGTGGTTATTTTTCAATGACTTGGCAAACGCTGACTATTTTCGAATACCAATCCGAAAACTGGCTAGCCCGTGCTATTTTGACGTAAAACCAATAGGAATTTTTACATTCCTATACACTATATGAAACTATATTACCCTCCCTACTCAAGTTTTACTATAATTACATTTTATATACACAATTACCATTTATGTACATTTTAAGGGAATTAACGATAATAATTAGTGTCCTAAAATTACTCTAACATATCTTCCACTCCCCCACGTTTCTCTCTACGCATCTCACCTCCCCCTCCCCCACGTATCTTGCACAAGAGAGCAGCAATTCTACCATTGACAACCATTAAAAAGCTTTGAAGCTTTGAATTCGAAATTGGGTTTTCAAAAAACATTGTTTGTTTGAATTAGATGTTGTTGCAAAGAATTGAGAATTCTCTCTACGTCTCTCTCTATCTCTCAATCCCAAATTTCAGTAATGTAAAGAAAAGGAAAAGAGAGCAGCAATTCCACCATTGACATCCATTAAAAAGTTTTGAAGCTTTGAATTCGAATTTGGATTTTCAAAAATCATTATTTTTTTTGGATTGGGTGTTGTTGCAATTAATTTGGAATATGGTTTGGAGTTTATATCTCAATTTTGAGGGGTTTTGGTGAAGATTAGACTTGGTTTTGGCTGAATTTTAGATTGAAACTCGAAGAAGAAGAAGAAGAAGAAGACATGACATACATTATACTGCAGAAATTGTAGTAAAATGGTAGAAAAATTATATTCTGTTGTTTATATTTTTTTTTTATTCATTTAAATATTGTATGAAAGTTGAACAACATTGTATAAAAATTATATTTAAGTTGTATAATATATAATTAGTTGTATGAAATTTGTTTTTACTATGTATAAATCAGATACAAAATATACAAAAGATATATTGTATAAAATTTGTTTTTAAGTTGTATATTTCCGTCTATCACTAGCCGTATTGGTGATCCTCAATCACGAGTTTATGTTGCCTAGGAGTCGTAGGTGGTTTGTTTATAGATTGGACGCAATCCTTTTCAAAGTTTGTTGTGCTATACAGCAAAGCAAGAAGACAAACTTAGAACAAAACAAGAGACGAATTATCCATGACATTCATGTTGTATTATCCATGACATTCATGTGGCTGATATTGATCATTTACACACTTCTATAAATCCAAACCAAAATGCTTACTATGAATTAATGCAAACTTCAATTCAGAAACAAAACTATGTCAAGTTCAAGACCATTAGTGATATCAATGACGCTGCAAAAGCCAGAATTAGTAATTCCAGCAACAGCAACACCTCGTGAGAGAAAACATCTTTCTGATATAGATGATCAAGGGAGTCTTCGTTTCCAAGTTCCCATATTAATGTTTTACAAATATAGTCCTTCAATGGAAGGCAAAGATCCTGCAAAAGTTATTAAAGAGGGACTATCAAAGACACTTGTGTTTTACTATCCATTCGCTGGTAGAATCATTGAATTAATGCCTGATAGGAAGCTTGTTGTGGATTGTAATGGTGAAGGAATCTTGTTTGTAGAAGCTGATGCCCAAGTGGAGCTTGACAAGTTAGGAGACTCCATTAAACCACCATGTCCATACTTGGATCAACTGCTATATAATGTGCCTGGTTCTGCTGCTATCATTGGCTGCCCTCTTTTGTTAGTTCAGGTAAACAATCTCCTTTATGTTTGGTTTAGATGGAACGATTTAAGTTATATATACGCCAATAATGTGAAGGTTTTTTAACTTGTGATAGCAGCAGCAGGTTACTTGAATTTTTACAAAATTATCAATTATAGGAAGTAATATTTATCAATTAAGAGATTTATCTGTAGTTATATAATAAATGACATGATTGTGTAGATATTTTTAGCTTAGAATTTAAACTTTTAGATGAAAATTCTTCTTTTTTATTTCTTGAACAGCAAAAACGTCCTTACAGGCATTTATTCCCTGCGCTATTTTTTCAATGTCACACTTTTCTTTATTTGGCTAACATATGATGAAACCAGATGGATAAAGTAATCTCTTTTGGAAAAATATATATACATGTTAGTATTTACATAAATTGCTAAATTTTAGAGTTAATGTCGTGACTATAAAATAACTTTTTGCAAAATCTTAATGAGGTTCCAGTGATGGAAAAGGAATAGTAACATTAATGTTAGACGACTTCATTACTATTGATATTGTTAATAGATAAAATACCCTGTGTTCATTACTCAAAAGTCATTCTTTTTTGGTTACATAAAAGTCATTCAATTTTGTATACATTACCCGAAAGTCATTTTTCTTTCTTTTGTTACACAAAATTATTTTACTATGCTCTAGTTATCACAATAGTCACTTTTACCAGACTTTGTAAAACTTTCACCTGAAAAGTCTATTATGCCCTTGACATTATAAATCCTCCCATTTTGTGTAATACCTTCTATATTATATACTATATAACATATTTTTACTTAGGTATTTTACTTCTAATAAAAATAACTTAATATAATTTTCTTTATTATTTTATAATATATTTGTACTTTTAATTTTTTCCTTAACATTAATTTTCAAGATATATAGATAACATTATTAAATTTGTCAATTAAATTACTGCGAACATATCTCAAGTCAACGTTCTTAACCATGCGTAATGAAATATTTTTAATAAAATTTATAAATTTAAAGTTCACATACTTTTCAGCCAAGCCAAAGCCGTTAATCAAATAAATAAAATACTCACATTTAATACACTAACATATCAGATTAACACTTTTAAATAAATATTATTTACATATAAAGCAATAAAAAACTTAATATTAAACACAAATATCTTTGAATATTTTTAAAAAGTTTCACTGACTAGAAAAAATATTATTTGTTAAACAAATATATTTTTATTATTTTAAATAAATATTAAATAAGAATTTTTTGTTAATAAGTTTTTTAAATATTTTTAAAATGTTTCGCTGACTTCAATCGATTTTTTTGATTTTCGGTCGGTTTATTTTTTGGGTGAGTTGTGGAATTTAATTAATCAATCAAAATCGGCATGTCACAATCGACTGACGTCGGTCAGTTGGCTCTGCCGACCGCATGATTATTGACCGCCACGTCTTGGTCGATTTTTGCCAATTACCAACCAACATCGGTCAGGTTTACAATCGATTTTTGCCTCTTTTTAACGGTATAATTACTTAATAAATGACCTGATTGTGTAAATATTTTTTACGGTAGAATTTAAAGTCTTAGATGAAAATACTTTTTATTCATTTCTTGAACCGCAAATACGCCCTTACAGGCATTTAATCCCTCACTGTAATTTCAATGTCATATTTTGCTTTATTTAACTAATATATTGATGAAACCAGATGGATAAAGTACTCTCTTTTCAAAAAAAAACAAAATTATGTTTAAAAATTTAGTATTTACATAAGTTGCTATATTTTAGAATTAAATGTCACATCTATAAAAGAATTTTTTTTGCAAAATCTTAATGACTTTAATGTTAGACGACGTCGTTACTATTGATATTTTTAATAGACTAAATAACATGAATTAATCGATATATATCCCTTAGAAAAACGAAAAAACAATAATACAATGAAAATAAAATGAGATCGGAAACAGAAAAATGATGACGGGCATATTATTTTCTTCTTTTCTAATTAGCATGATGTGTGCCAAGAGCTTTTTGTTCATGATTTGATTTTCCATAGTAATTGAGCTAACATATGATTACCCCTCTCTCTCTATATATATATTTATATAGGTGACCCGTTTTAGCTGTGGGGGATTTGCTGTTGGATTCAGATTAAATCACACTATGACGGATGCCTATGGCATAAAATTGTTTCTAAATGCCTTAACTGAATTGATCCAAGGAGCTTCAACACCTACTATATTACCCGTATGGCAAAGGCATCTCTTAAGTGCTAGATCATCCCCATGCATTACATGTACGCACCATGAGTTTGATGATCACAAAAGCAATAATATTAATGCATGGGATCAAGACTATACTAACTTGATACAACACTCATTCTTCTTTGGAAATAAAGAGATGGAAGCAATTCAAGATCAAGTTTCTCCAAACCAACGTGCAATTTATACAAAATTCGAGCTATTAGTCGCGTTTTTATGGAAGTGTCGTACGATTGCTCTTGGTCTGCATCCCGAAGAGATTGTCCATTTGACTTACCTTGTTAATGTACGTGGAAAATCACTAAAATTCGAACTTCCATTTGGATACTATGGGAATGCATGGGTTTCTCCGGCAGCAGTATCAAAAGCAGGATTGCTATGTTCAAGTCCTTTAACGTATGCAGTTGATTTGGTTAAGAACGTTAAAGATCAAATGAACGAAGAATACGTCAGATCAGTGGCGGATTTAATGGTGATTAAAGGGAGACCGGAGTTGACAAAATCTTGGAATTTTATTATTTCGGATAATAGATCTGCTGGATTTGATGAAGTAGATTTTGGATGGGGAGTGCCCATTTTTGGAGGGGTTCCAAAAGCTATATCTGTGATCAGCTTTTGTCTTCCTCTTAAAAATAACATGGGAGAAAAAGGTATTTTGATAGCTATAAGTTTGCCTCCACTGGCCATGAGAAAATTTCAAGAGATTGTACAAGATACTTGTAACGATCCAAAATTCCAACCCGTCATGATGACGCCTAACATACCGGCTAGGAGAGCCAAAATATAACAACAAAGGACTAGAACAACATATAGTAGACATGTTATAATGTTCAGCTGCTAATTTTGCAACTGTTTTCTTAGTCTGGTTGTACTCCATCTTCAACAGTAATTAGAGTTCAATATCAAGAATAATTCTTCAAGCTTTATCCCTAGCACTTGTCAGGTACTAGAAAAGAAATCTTGAAGACAAGTTAACTAAAAAATTAAAGAAAAGAAAAAAAGAAAAAAAATTTATGTCCCGAATTAGCACAAAAAATTATTTTGAACACTATTGATTGCCAATCCCGGCAACGGCGCCTAAATTTGACGAGCGCAAAACATAACACGAAATTGTTGCTCGCTAGCCAAAGATAGAATAGTTAAATCATCGTCTCCACAAGGATTGGATTGAAACAATGTTCGAGTAATTTATGCTTATATTTTGAGTGATTACTACTACAATTAACTACTAAATTAAGATTACCAATAATTAGAACTGATCACAGAGAAGAATAGTTGAACTAACGGGCTGTAAACAATGGGAGAAGTAAGGGTCGTGACAGGATAGGTGTAAGATGGCTATTCGGGATCTAACTATGTTTAAATTCACTCTAATGTGCTAATGGTTCTCACGAATTCACTCGATGATTAGCGTAAACGTAAGGTTAAGATTTCTGTCTGGATTAAATTCGAACTCTACAAAATAAACTAATATGAAGCACTGTGAAGATATGCAAGAATACGTTAATGGACTAGTCATTAGGAAAACGTCTCTCGAATATTCTCCTAACTTGGTTTAATCAATAATTCAAAAAGTTCTCTTGATTACTTAGAAGATCACTAAATAAACCAAACCAAATAATGCAAAGATAATCACCAAAATATTCCTCTTTCGATTAAATAAACCGGTGAATAAAGTTGCAAACAATTCAAAGCTCCATAAACATAATCACACAATCAAACTAGAGTTAAATCCACAAATATCAATCAAATACCATATCCGTAAAAATCCTAGGGAAAAACCACTTCATAGGTATGAAGAAGTTATCACAATAAGTTTAAGAACATAGAAAACATCAAAGACAACTTTACAATACTAACTCTCATTTTTTTACCGATTGTTGGCAAGAAAATTGATGAAATCTTTTGTCTTCAAGATGTGGTAGCTCTCCCAAGACTCTCCAAGGTCGAATCCCCTTTAAGAATCGTATTTACAAGTCTTGAAGTAGGGGGCATTTGTAAGCAGTTAAATTTTATCAAATTTAATTCGATAAAATAATGTGGACTATATTTTAAATATATTAGTCCAAAATAAATATTTTGGGCTAGTATAATTAGATTAGTTATAAAAGTCCAATATTATTGGGCCAGCCCATTTAATTGGGCTACAAATGATGAGTCCACCTCATTAGGCCCAAGATATCATCTTCCTAGAGGCCCAGTTTGGTACCACATGTCAAATGGCGTGGCACGCCAAGTCAAATGGAAGAGCCAATAGGACCATGCCACGTGTCAAAATGACTAGGCATGCCCAGTCACACTGAAAGGCCAATGAAATCGCGCCACGTGTGCAAGTGACATGTTCTGGCCAATCAAATGCAGCCATGTCACACTTTAATTTGATTGGTCGGAAAGAGTTTGTTCTTATCACAACTCTTCGCTTTCACAACTATAAATAGGGGTCTTCATAACTCAAAAAAGACACCAGAAGTTATAACAAGAAGCAAGAGAGAGCTCGTGGATAAAACACCGTAAATTCCTCCACAAGTTTCAAGCTTCAAGCAATCAAGTTCAAGTTCAACAAATCAAGTTCAAGCTCAAGAACGAAGAACAAATCAAGTTCAAGCTCAAGAACGAAGAACAAATCAAGTTCAAGCTCAAGAACGAAGAACAAATCAAGGTTCAAGGAGTGCGAGTTCAAATCAAAGTTCGTGCCAGTTGAATTCAAGATCATCGTTCGTGGCAACAAACATAGATTCAACGTCAAGCTCAAAGGCCCTTGAATTTATTTACAATTGAAAAGAAGAATCAGAGGATCCATAGAGATTGTAACACTCAAATATTCGAAATAAAATACTACGATTGTTGCGATATTTTCAGTCTTAATTTTATTTTCTCGACGCAAATTATTATCTACAGAAACCCATAAGAAAAAAGGAAGAAGATAGATTAAAAAAATAAAGAAGAAGGCTAGAATATAAATAAAATAGAGGGATAATTAAAAAAAAATTAATTTTTTTAAAGAGGTAACAGTAATTAACCATCAAACACGGCCAATTGGGGCCATTTCTATGTACAATTTCATCTCCCACATGCCCTTTTGACGAGTTATCTTATATATTTCATTAAAAAATCGATGAGGGATTCTTTTAATATATAGCGGGATATAGTTAATGAGGATTTTGGGGTCACAAGATAGTTTAAGTAGGTAACTGACAAAGACGTAATAATTTTGGGGGGTTTTAGGGT